CTCATCTCCAACAGATTCCCCATCATTTGCATCATTGGTTTCATGGGCTTCATTTGCATCTTCAGCATGCCCATCATCTTCTTCACGTTGCTCCTCCTGACGACAAGCCGATTGAGAAAACTGTCAGCTGCCTGTTCCTGCGTTGGCTCCCGAGGGCAAATAGCTTTGGGCCTCGTTTCCATCAGCTTTGGCAGATTGCAAGTCACCTGCGAAGCAACACCCCCAACATGCTTGTCAAAGAGGATGGGTTTGCCTTCAATTAAATCTCCCCACCGTCAGATGTTTGCTTTTGCAGCGTTGTGACCGCTGCTGTGAAAAGTTTTCCTCCTTTACCGTCGGGCGAGAAGCGCAAGGAACAACAATGTCCATCAAAGAAATGTCAACGGGCTGACAATGGAGATTCAATTCCATGCTGTACGTCTTTCCGTTTGGGGTGCACGTGTTCAGTCACAATCCGCTTGGGGCTCAAAGAAGTCCTGCCGTTGGGGAAGAGAAGAGCGAGAGGCCCATGAAGGGATTGCCGGACTGCAAGACCATGTATGCCAAACAAAGCGCTTGCACCAAGTGGCAGCAATGGCCGGCTACACCAATGAAATTTACCAAGTTGCACAACTCGCGCAATACCAAAATACAAAGGATGAATCCAAGCCTCTTTAGGTGGTCCATTTGAAGGAAACCTGCGGGCAGTTTGGAATTTCAAAATCTGAGCCTGATGTACTGGGCGACCGTTTCAGAGCTTCACAATTTGCAAGTAAGACGCCCTACTGAATCTCAATTTTCATCAAACACCATTCCGACCATTCCTAATGGTACCCTCTTTGAGATGACAGGCATTACAATTACAAGACACGGGCTGACAAACGGGACCACGTCAGCCAGCAAAGGCAACAAGACTTCAGGTTTCATTCACTACGAGTGAAGAAGATCGCGTATACAGCGCAAATGCGATATGCACTGTACAAGATCTACATGCGCAATAACAACATATATAAAATACAATCAAATTAACTTAATACTGTTTTTGTATGTTGTACGCATACTTTTTGCAAAAACACACGCACACAAACCCATACATATACACCTTTCTTTCCAGTATATGCGCAAAATGCAAATGCATCATACAAGTACTTGTATGTGCTTATACATAAGTTAAGTAGAATCATCAGTATATACACATGTACCAAGGCAAAAGTCGCCGCAGGAAGGCTTTCTGCTTGGCAAAAAATCTCCATGCGACGAAATCAACGCAAAGCAGTAGATGATAATCTGCAACCGTCAATGATTTTCTCAGTACTCTGGGGTTGAGGAGTTATCTCCGCGCTTTAGCATGCAACGATGTTAGAGATCAGGAACACAGTTGTTCCAAACCCCACTTGAAGTTACTCGAACCAGGGTTTGACGGCCTTCCGCAAAAGGTCTCCAACCTATTCCGAATGTAACGTTTCTGCGGGTGATAATGAGAACAGTTGTCCGGGAAGAGCGTAGGGAACAGCCGGGAACAGCACGCCAAGTATTTGAACTTTCAAAGTACAGGCGTCCCGGTCCTGCACAGTGCGCCGAGTAATTCTTGGAACTTGAAATTAGCAAACTCAAGAAGCGCAAGTGGAGCATCAAATTCATTGAATCCAAGGCTACAACGCACCTGGCTGTATCTTCCGTCACCTTCTTTACTTTTTTCTACGGGTACCAGACCCCTTGGCAGTTCTTGCCGGAAACGTTCTATCGTGATACAAAGTGCTCGTGCGAATCTTTCTGATCGAATGATTGTTTTAAACTACCTTTACAAGCTATGTGCATTGCCACAGAACATTTTGCTTGGGCATCTTGGAAGAAAGACCGAACAACAAATCGTTTGTTAAGTGAGCTTGATCTTGCCATATGTTGAGCTGTTGCTGGTGCTTTAAATGGTTCAGTAGGTTGACTCCTCAACGCAAAGGTGAACACGTCTGCGAGGCCGTGCTGACCCTGTGGCTGGACTCGCAAAGGTCGAAGTCGTGGCGCCACTTCCGCTTCCAAACAAAGATACACCAGCAAATGGATTGCTTCCATTGCCTCAGCTGATACAAGGCATCTTGGAAACACGTCCGGTACATGTTTCTCCGGAATCAAAATTGGTCCACTCGAAGCGCACCCCAAAATGCAAGCGGCGTTCAAGTAAGAGGAAAGAAATATGAACCTTCGTAAGCTGGGCACCGGGATCGCTTACCTCAGGCCTGCAAGCTTTCAAGATTCCGAAGCCATGCGCCCTTGATATCGCAGCAGTTAGAATCTTTGCCGATAAAACAACTAGGTGAAAATGAAAAACACAAATGGCGCCAGAGCTGCTGGGCTCTTTCCAGCTCGGACTCGGCAGCTCTTTTCATGCCTGGTGAATATAGGGGTGGCATCTCGAAACAAATGCATAGCAAAAGATGGAAGTACGTGAAAGGATTGAAACATTTCTGGAAAGGTTAATGTGCCTGGCTGCACTCAACCTCGACCCATGGTCTATTTGGCGTCTTTCAGAAGCTGAAACACAGCTGAGCTTGAGCGTGTGATGTTTGCTGCGCATATTCTGTTTGCCTGCCTTTCATAAACACATGTTGGCTTGTTTGTTTTTTTTTTGTGACTCATCAGATTCGACAGTCGTGCTTCCAATATTGCCTGCCTTGATTGGCGGGGCCACACGGCTAGGTGACTGTGGGAGGGCTCAGGTGGCCGAAACCTTTCTACACATATATATATATCAGCTTGCGCGATCCTGGGAAGACTCTAGCTTATATGGTCAAACGTGAAGTTACTCTGCCCCTTTTCACCAAATCCCATATCATATGCCCTTTCCTCAACATAATGAAGCGTTACAAAGATATCTATTGTGTGCAATGTCTCCGCAGACGCATCTACGCATGCATGCTTCTACATTGAAGACAAACGGGTTTGTTGATAGAGCATTGACGCAAATAGACGAACGCAATTACATTTACACGTATGTAAATATCAACATGAGTGATGTAAATACGTGATATGTACACAGAATAAATACGCACTGATATCTATTGCCCCGACCTGGTTTCAGGATGAGGGTGGCCATGACAGGGTGTGTGGAACGCGGCAAATTCAAAAACACACTGATCCGCAATTTGAAAGTGTTGCAGTTTCAACTTCGGTACTTTCTTCCATGCCGGGCTTTCAGCAAAGGCTAGTGTTGCGTCGCATGGCAGCTGTGTCCCCGCGACGCTGGAGTCTGAAGCCTGACACTGCGCCAAGACGTCCCGACTACAGGCACCAGTGTGCGGACCTCTTTGGGTCACTGAGACCTGGTGAATCCCTCGCGGCTTCACCTCCAGAATGGCTTCGCGTTCGTCGCCTCAAGTGGCCAATGTCCTCAAGATCCCCGACCGATCACCAAAGCAAAACCTAGCGTGGACCTTTTCCACGTTCTCAGCTTCGGAGAGGGCCTCTAGGGAGACAGTAGCATCAGCCGTGGCATGTATGAAAGCCTTCATTGATCTCAGAAACTCTTCTCTGGTACCTGGTTTAAAAGCCAAGAGTCCTCCACCTGATGTGCCAAAGGTAATCTCACAGCTAGCCAAATCTGACATATTTACATCCGGCTTCAAACCAGACACTTCAAATGCAAGTCTTCTCTCATGCGTATTTGCTCCCGGAGATGGCAATGACAAAATGCCCCGAGGTTTCTTTAAATATTTACTGCCGATCCAACCAGAACTCAACTGCGAGGCTTGTGAATCCTGAAGTTCGACATTGGTATTGTCGGTATTCAAGACTGGCAACTTCAACTCGTCACAAAGATTGTGTGCTGTCGTCCTTGGAAGGAACGCGTCGATTTGTACAAAACCATCTTGTTGCAATCGTTCAAACATGGTCTTCAGCAACAGATCTCGGGCACAATGCACTGCTGTGTTTGGTGCTCCTTTTCGATCTGCCTCAAAAAACCGTTTGATCTCAAACCATATCCTCGCTCTTGGCCGTGAAGTCTTCATAGCATGGACGGGATCAGAAAAGTGTTCAACTCCCCTAAACTTTGCATCTTGAAAACAATGTTGTACATCTTGTTCCGCAGCATCCAGCAAGTCAAAGTCAAAACTCATGATGCGCTGCGTCCTTGAACTTGCGAGCAATCACTGGCAAAGGGCGCGTCATACTCAGGGCATGTCATGTACAAAGAACGCGCGGCAAACCGCGCTACCAGAGCTAATGCTGAAATTTCATTGGAACCAAAACGAGCGCACATGCAATAAAATAGGCCCCTCATGAGCAAAACCAAAACCCTAAATCACCCAAAAAACACAAAGGATGGCCATAACAAAAAATCGATTGCACACAAAAGTGGGGCAGCAGGACGCGGAAAAATCACCCGGCCACCCACGTTAACAAAATATATAATGAAAATTGTTTTCACGAGGCCGCAACAGCAAGACAATCATCGTGTCAAGGTATCTGTTCCGTTGCACTTTGTACCCACTTTTTCCCCGTAACGTTACGATTTCTTTCAGCTTAGCCGGGTTCAATCTGGTCAACGCAACGCATGAAAACCGCACATAGATTTCAAATTGGTTCGGGGGTAGCTCTCTCACAGAAACAACAGACAGGTTAGATCTGACCTGGATGAGACGTCTACATAAACTCATTTTGAATAGACTTCGCTGGTTTGAAGCCTAAGACAGGACAATGCCAAACCACAATATAGACACAAGGGGGGCCGGAGAACCCGAAAGCAAAACGCCAGCAATCAAATTGGATTATAAAATGATTGTTAGCTGACACCTCCCCTCCTCCCCTTGCCACCGACTTTTTCGACTGTGAAATCATGAAGGCATGGTTTTCAAGATCTGCGGCGTTTTTCATGCGCGGACAAAACCCAGCCAGTGGCCCAACTCGTTATGAGACTAGACGACAGTGTGGCCCGAAAGACACCAGGAGGAATGAGATGAGAAGATAAGTTATTCGAACATATGATCAGAAGAAATGATGAGGATGAGGATGGGGATGAGGATGGGGATGGGGATGATGATGATGATGATGATGGTGATGATGATGATGATGGTGGGGTGGTGATGATGGATGGATGGATGGATGGGTGGATGGATGGATGGATGGATGGGTGGGTGGATGGGTGGACGGACGGACGGACGGAAGGAAGGAAGGAAGGAATGAAAGCTGACAGGTCACATGCCATAATCCATAAATTGATGGTTTTTGCCCCGGCAGGAGGTTTGCTACAGGGTTGGCACCTGAGTGACAGTCAGAATGGCAAGAGATGCTTGGGGTTTTACACAGAGAAGTTTTTACGGGCAAACTTGTGCACACAGGGGGCTCTACACAGAGAATCCTTTACACAGAAAACTTTTTGCAGACAGAAACTTTTACACAAGGCAGTTTTTACACACAGACGCTTTTACCACAGATGCGTTTACATGCAGAGGCTTTGGCGAACAGAGCTTTTGCACACAAAGCCTTTACGTCGTCCACAGAAGCTTTGACGCAGAGCAGCTTATGCACACAGACGCTTTATATACACAGAAAGTTTGTGCACGCAGACGCCTTTACCAAAAAACGTTTTACACAGAGAAACTTTTACACACACACACAGACGCCTTTACACAGAGAACTTTTACACATAGAGGCTTTTACACAGGGAAACCTTCACACAGAGAATCACATACACACAGAAACATTTACACAGAGAAGCCTTTACGCACAGAAGCGTTCACACATGCACACAGGGATTGCACACAGGAGCTTTTACACAGACAAAACTTTTTCGCAGATCAGCCTCTATACACAGCAGTTTTTACACACAGAAGCCTTTACACAGAGAAAACTTTACACACAAAAGTTTTTTTCACAGAGGGGCCTTTAGACTAGCAGTTAGAAAAGCCTTTGCACAGAGAAACTGTTACACAGAGACGCTTTCACATAGAGAAGATTTCGTACAAAGAGCCTTCATTCACACAGAGGAACTTTTACGCACAGAAGCGTGTACACAGAAAAACTCTTACGGAGAAAAGTTTTTGAACACAGAAGCTTTTACGCAGGCGCCTGTACACGCAAACGCTTTTACATAAATGCACGCAGAAGCCTTTACACACCGAATCTTTCACACACAGAAGCTTTTACACAGAAACTTTTGCACAGAGAAACCTTGTCACAGAGCAGCTTTTTGCACACAGAAACATTTACACCGAGAAGCTTTTACATAGAGACGATTTTGCACAGAAACGCCTTTAAAAGGAGGAACCTGAAGCTTTTACGTAGAGATTGCTTTTCAACACAGAGGCTTTTACACACAGAGCAGCTTTTAGACACAGATGTTTTTGCACATACGAGCTTTTACGCTCAGAAGCTTTAAATTGCACACAGATGCCTGCACACGCGGATGCTTTTACACACAGATACACGCAGAAGCTTTTACACAAAAGAGCTTTGACACCGGAAAGCTTTACACATAGACGCCTTTACGCAGAGAAGCTTTTACACACAGGAGCTTTTACACGCAGGAGCTTTTACACAGAGAAGCCTTGCCACAAACGACGCTTTTTCCATAGAGGAGCCTTTATGAAAAGGTAACTTTACCTTGGGCCGCGTGCCCACGCTTGCTCATGCCCACCGGGCATTTCTCCTAACCCATTTCTATCCCTTGCCTCCGCCTCCACACCGTCCAGCACCCACACCGTCACACATCCGCGCGTCCGCGCTCGCTCGCCCTTCTCCCTTTTTACCTTTCCCCACCCATTTCCACTCATTCTTTTGTGCCCATGCCGTCGGCACACGTCCGCGCATCCACGCTCCCCCATGCCCACCGGGCCTCATCCCCACCCATTTCCATTCACCCCCTTGCATCCAAACCGTCCGCACACTGTGATTCCGCGCCGGCTTAAGACACACCACTATCACTGAGAGTCACGGCTTGATGACTCTGCAGCTGGCAGTCCAAGTTCCATGGTCTTTGTTTCAACTCCACCAGCAGCCCCTCCAAAAGCCAAAAAATTACTAGCGACGTTCTGATCTGTGGTAGATCTTGTCCATGGAACGGAGCCAGAAAAACTTTCCTCAATCTGGAGCTTGGCGAATTGGATCTCCGGATCAAGCTAGCTGCCTTCTTGGCTAGGTCTAGGACCCGGGACCATTAACAAATCCCCCCGAAGTTCATCTCTATCCTCATCTCTTCGGCGAATCGTCCGAGCTCCCTATTCGTGAAGGCATCTGCTTCTTCACTTTGGCCTCTCGGAATCCATCCCAGCTCCAGCTCCAAACCTATATAATCCCTGCAGTTGAACTGACAGCTCCATGAGCAAGGTGAACAAGGGGCACGTGCAGGACATGACATGTTGGCGACATGTTGGAGGACGTCGGTGTTTCCCAAGTTGTCGGTGCGCGCTGACAGCACCAAGCGGATCTTGCACGAATTGTCGACCAACTTGCCCGAGAAGAAGATCACCGCTGCCAGTGCAGCACACAATTCCAAAGACGCTATGTTCCTGAACGGCTTTCAAATTCGCCCACGGAGCGTTCTTTTTAGCCAAGCCAATGGCAAACCATCTCCCCTTTCTCTGCTCAATGCCATGACCGCTTCCCGAATGTGATCCTTCACATGGGGCTTCGCCATCGGTTTACCTTCCATGGCATACCTGCTCAAAACCCTGATAGCATCAACGAATGTCGCGTAAATGGAGCGGCCCTGCCAGAAATGCTTTCCCCGCCGCAAATGCTTTTCCAGCCGTTGCGACATCCTTCTTCTCTGAGATCCCCTTTGTGAAGTTTCCCACGCGATACCTCCTCTCACTTTCTTCCGATGCCATGGAACCTCGCACAGATCCGGCACGACATCCAAAAAATCAACTTTCGCCAAAAAAATCAGAAGAACGTGCCCCTTGTATGGAGAAATGCAGAGCCTCCATCCTCGTCCTCATCCTCTGCAGCCGACTGCAGGCACCAACATCCCTTTGGATCCCTGGCGCCCTGTAGCGTTCACCAAGGCGGTGCAAGGTCTTGCGACCTCAATCCAAAAGTTCCTTATCAGTGCCTAGCCCTAACATGCCATCATCTGGTTGAGGCAGAGATGGTCGGTTTCAGAAAGTTGACCTTGGTCCATTCCGTGCCTAAAAGGGCTCTCAGGCCCCACGAGAACTCAACTGGAATTCCAACTCCTTACATGAAGTTGGATGGCGCCCTCCTGGTCATCTTGGCTGCCAGTGCCCAATGCCGAAAACATCAGCCCTCCATCAAGATGTGGTGAATTCTGCCACACAGCTGGCCCTTCGGACCTCTTCCGACCCACCTCGTGTCCTCCTGGTAGTGGCCTCCTCACCTTCATCGTGCAGCGTTCCTAAACTCTCCGCTTTCCAACCCAACCTGTCCAGAGTCCAACCCCTTGCTCCATCCCAAAGGCAATCCGGACAACCCACCGAGGTCACCAACGGGCTCACACTTGGAGGGTCAGCCTGGTTAGTAAGTACTTATGATATTTACTATGTACTTAAGGCACTTAGTAAGTACTTACTCCACTTAGGCTAAGTTAGATAGCACACTTAGCTTTGAACCACTTAGCGGACTTAGCTAAGTGTACTTAGCGTACTTAGGCTAAGTGGGCTAAGTCACTTAGACAGCTTCAAACCTAAGTCCCCTAAGTGACTTATATGTACATGTAACCAAGTATTTTTGATGGTTTATAATGAAAAAAGGTGACGAAAAAAGAGGGCATTCCGCCAAAAAAATAAACATGCAACGAAATTTTATCTCGCAAGTAAATGTGAAAAAGGGTGATACATTATCTTTTTGCTGGGTCGGTTGAATTCATGACCGTGCTCAAAGTCATGCATGTTTTCCCAGCAAACCTGCGAGCACAGTGCCCGCTAGGTCAGGCCAGCGAGCCAAGCCCGACTGTGGCCTTTTCAACCCTTGGTATTTTCAAGTAATAAAATAAAACAATGCAATAAGGAAAATGTCATCAATAGATTGATCAGCACATGTTTTGTAGCTATATACCAGCCAACATATCCACAAGTCATATACCCACATGCCTGCATGTAAACCAAACATGTATCATTATAACAAGGCCAGCAGGTCTATTTTCAACACATGTGAAATATCCATCCATATCAACAACGTCGCCACGATCTGCAGAGCAAAATAACAACAAAGTCGATGGACACGATGAAGCACCTGCTGGAGAGACAAGGGGCAACAAAGGGGTGTGTGGTTGGCTATAACTTTCAAACGATATAATATCCTAAGTAATTTGGACCTCACCCACGGTTATTGTGACATTATATATGGGACTCTTACTTCAGATATATATAAATATATTTATAGATGTGTGTATTCATGATAAACGCATCCCTCAAACCCATGTATAAATAGTAATCTTTACAAGGTTGCATGGCCATGTACCAAAAAACACACAGATGCTCCTTTTGTCTATTCCGGCGATTCCCTTTTGGGATCTGATTTTTGTCCAGAGACGTCTCTAGAAAGGGGCAATTATATGCCACGACCGGTTAGATTTCGCAACTTTTTGCGACATCAAAACCAAAAAACATTTTCAAAACCCCAGTCTGCCGGCTCACCATAGCCTTCCAAGTGCCACTTTCCGGACACGTCAGCTTCGCCTTCATGAGCCGCATCCGGTTCTTCTGGCGGGACGTCCATGATTGCAAGCATGGGCTGCATGGGTCGACCAAGCGGATCGTCCTGCGTTGGCACTTCAGGTGCAGGTGACCCTTGCCACGGGGAATAGCGCAACTGCAAGCTTCGCATGCCACATGTCCCGGTCCACTGGCCCTTGCAATGGTGAGAAAAGTTTGAATCGCCCAGACTTTTAAACACAATGGCCATATAGCATGCAGAAACCAAACAACATGAATCAACAGAAGGCATGACATACCAAAGGCTTTTGTGCAGTATGTATGTGGTTGGATCATCGAAACAAACACATGATATAGGACCCCAAGCGAAAAAGAAAAACTGAAAGGAAAAAAACAACTCTAAGTTCATAGAAAGAACTGAAAAACATCAAGTTCATCACCAAGACACAGCACCATGGTATTCAAAGGTCAAGTCCAGCAGCTTTGCTCCCAGGCAGCAAGCGAATTTCTTTAGTTTCAAAGTAGTGCCGCTGCTTTCCCAAGTTCCGACTGCGCCAAAGGCACGCTTCTTCGTCCTGCATGCAGGGGACGACAACAAATCATGGAAAACTGACATC